AAAAAGAGCTTCTTGGGTTTGAAATTAGAAAAGACTCAGACACGAAATTGTAATAGGCAATGAAAATCAAGGTATGTAAGATGACCCAATAAGCAGATTGGGTGATAAGCACACAGAAGGAAGAAATCAGGAAGCCTTTTGTCAATGTTTGTAGAATCCTGGAGGATTAGGAATTCCAAACATCAAGAAGTAAGAAAGGAAGGAGGGGAGGGAGGGAGGGAGGGAGGGAGGGAGGAAGGAAGGAAGGAAGAAGTAGTTATGGACCATTTGAAGGCAGGTTCCCAATATAACCTTTATTTTTATTCACTGAAGATGAAAACTGGCAGACTGGTTCTAGAAAATATGTGTCAATCAGTATGCTCTGGTTTCCTATAAGACAGGCAGAACTTGAAGAGGACTCAGCTGGTGAGCATCACATATGTAGAGGGGAAGAAATGAGAGCAGGACACCTATCAGAAACATCACACTGTCTTCTAGGCATAGGGTCTTGAGGAATTGGAGTGAGACCTAGACACCAGTTGTGGAAAGGTGGAAAGAAGAGATGGTCAGCTCTATGAGAGCAAGACAGTGAAAAGCGGAGCTTGCTCATGGCACTCTGGAAAGAATTTAGCACTTTTGCCTCATAGGATTACTTCTTCATTTGGACAGGAAAGAGACATCAGAAAATGTTGGCTCTTTCTGCATTCAGGTTGGTTTCAAAGAACACATTTTCATCCAGTATACCAATTCATTTGGATACATCACCTGTTTGATTGCTTCTGCACCTTGCTCTTTCACCCTCTCCACCTCAAAGAGGGAACTGAGGGTCTGAAAAAGAGACAATAAGAAGCAATCAACACCTAGGGTAGAAACAATAACAACAAATGCCCCTCCCCACACCTTGATTCTGGCTCTCAGGCTTGTTGGAAACAGCCTGTCAGCACAATGGAACAGATCTTCCAGAAGCACAGGAAACCTCTGTGAAGAGCTGTAGGTGGGCGAGGCTGGGCTTGGGGCTAAGTGGTCCAATGCTGGCCAGGCATGTATGAGGCCCTGGTTTCTATGGTGTGCACACAGTATCAATGATTACATTCTCTAACTAAGGAATTCCAAAGAAAAACTGTAGGATCAGGAACACTAAGTCCTCAGGACACACAGCCTTTCACAGTCCTACTCCTGGGCAGTACCTATGAGGTCTCCATGTTCAGGCTTCACCAGCACCAATGAGTCCTGCAGCACTTTGCAACCGTTGATAGACTAAGGGGGTTGTCATTTTGAATGCAACTGTACTTTGACCAGAGATGCTTCCTCATCTGCACATGAAGTGACAGATTCCCCATGTTTTCCTTGGATTTTTTTCAATGACTGGCTAGGGAATTTAGCGGTGTTACTATGTTTCCTTCCAATATGCTCCAGCACCCCCGGAACACATACTGAAACCAGGTGTCATGGCAAGGCCACAGAAGGCCATGGAAATATATCTCAGGTCTCTTTGAAAAACCATCTTGCACAAAATCAGTGAATCCTGGCCAATATTTTCAAATTTTCAGCCCCTTGTTGGAAATGTCTCCTAGAGCTTTAAACTCGGATCTCCGTGTTTCCTTAGAAACCTACCTGTTCCGGAGTGGGTCCTCTACATGCAGGCTGTTCCCCCAAGGCACCTGTGTGAAATACATGATAGGACACAATATTAATCTATGTTTTCTAATTTTTTTAAGAGAGAGAGAGAGAAGAGAGAAATTTTTAATATTTATTTCTCAGTTTTCAGTGGACACAACATCTTTATTTTATTTGTTATGTGGTGCTGAGGATCAAACCCAGTGCCCTGCACATGCTAGGTGAGAATGTTAACGCTTGAGCCACATCCCCAGCACTAAATCTATGTTTTCTTCATAGGGCAAAGAAAACTAATCTAGTTGAGGTGCACAAACTACAATGATTTTGCACCTAAGAACTCTCTCTCCTTTCTACTCTCTCTTACACTTCCACACCTCATGCTGAGAATGATGGATTCAGAAAGAGCTAGTCCCTGACCAAAATTCTGAGGTGCATAGATGAGAGAGGATTTGTCAGTAACCACTCTGCTAGTACTGAGGGTCCATTCTAGAGGTGGAACTGTGAATTGCAGGGAAGCCTTGGCAGAATGAGCTCTCTTGGGTCTCCTGTGCTTGGCCATTTCACCTCTTTCCCTTGGAGCTGCAGAGAGAGTAAGAAATAGAAAGATATCTTGGGAAGAGTGATTCCCATTTCAGACAGCATTTCAAAGGGCAGGTGGCCAGAGCGGACTAGAGTCTACTAAGGGGTTGGGCTGGAGGCTCCAAACCCCACCTTTGGGCTCTCTCTGCTCTGCAGGTGCCATGGTTCCCCTAATCCAGAGAGCCTGCCCTGATTCATGTCTTCCCTCCTCACAATCAGCCCTCTTTTTGTGCCAATCCTGCTCTGGGGAGCTGACTGAACCCGAGGGTGCTCACGAGCTAGCTCCTCAGAAAACATTCTTGGCACTCATATCACTCATTCCTCTAGCATCAAAGGTTGTTTCCCCAGACATCCTCACAGGAGCTGCTTCTCTCTACTGAAGTTTCTAGGTGATCTCCATTTTGTCAGAATCAGGCAGGCATTAACCTCCTTTTCCAGATGCGGAAGCTGAGGCTGAGGGTCTGAAATTAAGTGATTTCTCCCAGTTATACCCCAGAGCTGACCTTTAGAAAATGCTCCCAAACTTCAGTTACCCTGTACTACCTAAAGCCAAATTGCAGCTCCAACCACATGGGAACTACTTCCTGGAGTCACCCAGAATTGGGCCCAATGACTTCTTCTACAGGCTTCTTTGGATACATGCAATGCATGTTGCCTCTCTCAACCCCAGTGCAACTATCCTTTTCACCTCTGGGACCAACTGTGAGTTCCTGAGGTCAGGGTCAGTGACGTGCACATCTGTCTGGCTTGCTCCCCACATGAGCGCATCCTCTGTCAAGGCACTCGCTGATGAGCATTGTGTGCCAATCTGGCTGAGGAAACCCTTCCTGAGGCAGGTACAGATCCTACAACTCTGCTCTCTCACACCTGTACTTAGAAAGATCAGATCAGCCCTGCTCTGTGCTGTTTGGAATGTAGTAAAGGGTTAAAAAGTTTAGGTGGGCTGGCCTGTAACTGGCTCGGGATCATTGTAGTTCATCTCACTGCATCCAGCTGCACAGGCTGCCTGATCATCTCCTAGGGCTTCATTCCCATGTCCACTCCTCAAGGGAACCTTCATAAATGAACTCTCTCTGTTTTTGCATACCTTAATTGTCTCTTTGACTTCAACTCTTTTATTCCCTTTGTGGAAATTTCACTCTCTGAATTGCTTCTATCCTTCTTTTCTTTGATTCCACTGGTTTCCATTCCACTGAATACAGCCAAAAAATATATACATGTTGTGTGATGAGAACACTATGTTGATGAACAAAACAGACAAAGAAAGATGGAAATAAAGAGACACTCAAGCAGAGAACTAAAAATTGAGCAGAAAGTCTCTATGAAAAAGGGAAAGAAAAGCTTTCCAGGAAGTGGGAAGAGTTACATGGAGTGGCTGGCGAGAATGCT